TCCGGGGCAACTGAACGAAAAAATAACTTCAACCCCAGATACTCTACCCAGCAAAATGATCATATCAAAATAGATGAGCAATACATTAAAAGTCTTCCCATGATAAGCAGGAAAACTAAAACAATAATTGTGACCCACCAAAGCCACCACTACAAAGATTCTGCAAGGGATTCTGCACACAGAAAGTGAAACCCAACTTAACCATGGGAAAAAAGACAGCATAGCAAAACCCAAAAGAACCACAGGGGAAAAGAAAAAGCGCCCAAAGACAGTAGAGAGAACCCAACTTAAGTAACCACACAATCAAAACCTTCCAAACAAACTAAGACAACTAAATGACAGGAATCACCACATACCTAGTCAGTACTAATGCTTAATGGTAACGGACTTATTAATTCCCCATCAAAGGCCACCATTGACGAAAGATAAAAAGGAAAGATCAACAATTGATTGCTTACAGGAACCCTCTCACTGACAGAAATAATGATAATCTCAAACTCCTAGAAAAACAAAACAAAGCAAATCCCAAAACAAATAGAAGGAGAGAAATAATAAAAATAAGAGCTTGAAATCAAAAATAGAAACCAAAAAAACCATACAAAGAATTAATGAAACAAAAAGTTGGTTCTTTGAAAAAATAAACAAGATCAATAGACCTGTGGCAAACCTGACTAAAATGAGGAGAGAAAAACCCAAATTAGTAGAATCAGGAATGCAAAAGGGGAGAGAACAACAAACACCATGGAAGTCCAGGAAATCATCAGAGACTACTTTGAGAACCTATATTCAAATAAATTTGGAAAATCTTAAAGAAATGGACAGATTTCTAGATACATATGATCATCCAAAACTGAACCAAAGGAAATTAATCACCTGAATAGATCTATAACACAAAATGAAATTGAAGGAGCAATCAAGAGTCTCCCCAAAAAGTCCAGGACCTGATGGATTCTCTGCTGAATTCTATCAGACCTTTAAAGAAGAACTGATACCAACCCTCCTTAAACTGTTCCATGAAAATAGGGGAAGGAAAACTGCCAAACACATTTTATGAAGCCAGTATTACACTTATCCCAAAACCAGGCAAAGACACCTCCAAAAAGGAACTATAGGCCAATCTCCTTAATGAACATTGATGCACAAAAATCCTCAACAAAATAATGGCAAACCGAAGCAACAACACATCAAAAAGATTATTCACCACGACCAAGTAGGCTTCATCCAGGATGCAGGGTGGTTCAACATACGAAAATCAATAAACATAATAAACCACATTAACAGAAGCAAAGACAAAAAACCACTTGATCATCTCAATAGATGCAGAAAAAAGTTTTTGATAAGATCCAACACCATTTCATGATAAAAGCTCTAAGAAAACTAGGAATAGAAGGAAATTCCTCAACATTATAAAAGCTATATATGACAAACCTACAGCCAGCATTATATACTTGAGAAAAACTGAAACCATTCCCTCTAAAATCAGGAACCAGACAAGGATGCCCACTATCTCCACTTCCTATTCAACATAGTACTGGAATTCCTAGCCAGAGCAATTAGGCAAAAGAAGGAATAAAAGGAATACAAATAGGTAAAGAAACTGTCAAAATATCCCTATTTGCAGACAACATGATCCTATACCTTAAAGACCCAAAAAACTCTACTCAGAAGCTTCTAGACATCATCAATAGCTACAGCAAGGTAGCAGGATATAAAATCAACATAGAAAAATCATTAGCATTTCTATACACTAACAATGAGCAAACTGAAAAAGAATATATGAAAACAATTCCATTACAATAGCCTCAAAAAAAAATCAAATACCTAGGTGTAAACCTAACAAAAGATGTGAAAGACCTCTACAAGGAAAACTATACACTTCTGAAGAAAGAGATTGAGGAAGACTATAGAAAGTGGAGAGATCTCCCATGCTCATGGATTGGTAGAATCAACATAGTAAAAATGTCATACTCCCAAAAGTAATCTACATGTTTAATGCAATTCCCATCAAAATTCCAATGACATTCATTAAAGAGATTGAAAAATCTACCTTAAATTTATATGGAAACAAAAGAGGCCACGAATAGCCAAGGCAATACTCAGTCAAAAGAACAATGCTGGAGGTATCACAATACCTGACTTCAAACTATATTACAAAGCAATAACAATAAAAACAGCATGGTACTGGCAAAAAACAGACATGAAGACCAGTGGAACAAGAATAGAGGACCCAGATATGAAGCCACACAACTATAACCAACTTGTCTTTGACAAAGGAGCTAAAAATATACGATGGAGAAAAGCACCTCTTCAACAAAAACTGCTGGGAAAACTGGTTAGCAGTCTGCAAAAAACTGAAACTAGATCCATGTATATCACCCTATACCAATATTAACTCAAAATGGATCAAGGATCTTAATATCAGACCCCAAACTCTAAAGTTGATACAGGAAAGAGTAGGAAATACTCTGGAGTTAGTAGGTATAGGTAAGAACTTTCTCAATGAAACCCCAGCAGCACAGCAACTAAGAGAAAGGATAAATAAATGGGACCTCATAAAACTAAAAAGCTTCTGTTCATCAAAAGAAATGGTCTCTAAACTGAAGAGAACACCCACAGAGTGGGAGAAAATATTTGCCAGCTACACATCAGACAAAGGACTGATAACCAGAATATATAGGGAACTTAAAAAACTAAATTCTCCCAAAACTAATGAACCAATAAAGAAATGGGCAAGTGAACTAAACAGAACTTTCTCAAAAGAAGAAATTCAAATGGCCAAAAAACACATGAAAAAATGCTCACCATCTCTAGCAATAAAGGAAATGCAAATTAAAACCACACTAAGATTCCACCTCACCCCTGTTAGAATAGCCATCATCAGCAACACCACCAACAGGTGTTGGCGAGGATGCGGGGAAAAAGGAACCCTCTTACACTGCTGGTGGGAATGTAAACTAGTACAACCACTCTGGAAAAAAATTTGGAGGCTACTTAAAAGCTAACATCGATCTACCATTTGATGCCAGCAATACCACTCTTGGGATATACCCAAAAGACTGTGACACAGGTTACTCCAGAGGCACCTGCCACCCATGTTTATTGCAGCACTATTCACAATAGCCAAGTTATGGAAACAGCCAAGATGCCCACCACTGACGAATGGATTAAGAAAATGTGGTATCTATACACAATGGAATTTTATGCAGCCATGAAGAAGAACGAAATGTTATCATTGCTGGTAAATGGATGGAATTGGAGAACATCATTCTGAGTGAGGTTAGCCTGGCCCAAAAGACCAAAAATCGTATGTTCTCCCTCATATGTGGACATTAGATCAAGGGCAAACACAACAAGGGGATTGGACTTTGAGCACATGATAAAAGCGAGAGCACACAAGGGAGGGTGAGGATAGGTAAGACACCTAAAAAACTAGCTAGCATTTGTTGCCCCAATGCAGAGAAACTAAAGCAGATACCTTAAAAGCAACTGAGGCCAATAGGAAAGGGGACCAGGAACTAGAGAAAAGGTTAGATCAAAAAGAATTAACCTAGAAGGTAACCCCACGCACAGGAAATCAATGTGAGTCAATGCCCTGTATAGCTATCCTTATCTCAACCAGCAAAAACCCTTGTTCCTTCCTATTATTGCTTATACTCTCTCTACAACAAAATTAGAAATAAGGGCAAAATAGTTTCTGCTGGGTATTGAGGGGGGGGGGGAGAGGGAGGGGCAGAGTGGGTGGTAAGGAGGGGTGGGGCAGGGGAAGAAATGACCCAAGCCTTGTATGCACATATGAATAATAAAAAATAATAAAAAAAAGAAATGTGGTATCTATAACACATGGAATTTTATGCATGAAGAAGAACGAAATGTTAATCATTCGCTGGTAAATGGATGGAATTGGAGAACATCATTCTGAGTGATGTTAGCTGGCCCAAAAGACCAAAAATCGTATGTTCTCCCTCATATGTGGACATTAGATCAAGGGCAAACACAACAAGAGGATTGGACTTTGAGCACATGATAAAAGCGAGAGCACACAAGGGAGGGGTGAGGATAGGTAAAACACCTAAAACATTAGCTAGCATTTGTTGTCCTCAACGCAGAGAAACTAAAGCAGATACCTTAAAAGCAACTGAGGCCAACAGGAAAAGGGGACCAGGAACTAGAGAAAAGGTTAGATCAAAAAGAATTAACCTAGATGGTAACACACATGCGCTGGAAAGTAATGTGAGTCAACTCCCTGTAGAGCTATCCTTATCTCAACTAGCAAAAACCCTTGTTCCTTCCTATTGGTTATACTCTCTTTAACAAAATTAGAGATAAAGGCAAAATAGTTTCTGCCGGGTATCGAGGGGGTGGTGGGGAGAGGAGGGGGCAGAGTGTGTGGTTATGGAGGGGGTGGGGGCAGGGGAGTAATGACCAAGCATTGTATGCACATATGAATGATAAAACAATAAAAAAAAGGATTATCCTAGAAGGTAACACGCATGCACAGGAAAGTAATGTGAGTCAACTCCCTGTATAGCTATCCTTATCCCAACTAGCAAAAACCCTTGTTCCTTCCTATTACTGCTTATCTCTCTCTTCAACAAAATTAGAGATAAGGGCAAATAGTTTCTGCTGGGCATCGAGGGGGTGGGGGATGAGGGGGAGGGGGCTGAGTGGGTGTTAATGGAGGGGTGTGGGCAGGGTGGAAAATGACCCAAGCATTGTATGCACATATGAATAATAAAAAAAATTTTAATAAATGAAGTGTTTTAAAGAAACAGAGTGATAAATGTTGGTATAATATAGAGATATATGAAATGCTTTGGGAGGTCAGGATAATCTTCTTAGAGGAAGTAACGTATAAGCCTGTATCTTAACATACCCTTGGTTTAGAATGGTGGCCTCTGCTGTCATGCCTTTTGTTTTTCTTGTTTGTAGCAGGTTCATTTTGAACCATTTGTCCTGAGTGGATAACTAAATAACTGTTACACGTGTTTGTTGTTTTCCAGCTTGTCCAGATTATTATCAATACAACCCACTTGGAGAAATCCTGTAAATATTTGGAAGAATTCATCACCAATATCACTAATGTGCTTCCAGAAACAGTCCACACCACAAAGCTCTATGGTACTACAACTTTTAAGGTGAGAGGGCCTACAATATTGTGGAAATGTCTGCTGTGCATAATTTGGGGCATTCTACTAACATGGATTTGTTTCTGCAGGATGGTTTATAATATGCTCTTAACAATAAGTACTCAGTAAAACTGTTGTTTTCTTCTCTATTTTCCTTGAAAAACAAATATAGGAACTAGTTTTTGGTGTTAAAGCTACAACTGCATCCTCTATACCCTGCCTTATATTTTGTACGTGAAAATAACTATTTTCTTAATTGTCTGCCATTGCAGTCAAGAGTTCTAACTGTAGTCCAGCTACTTGAGAGTAGAGATCAGGAGGATTGAAGTTTGAGTACAGGCAAAAGGTTAGGGGTGTGTGCCTGTGATTCCAGCTATGCCAGCACACATTGGTAAAAGGATCACATTCTATGGCCAGACCTGGGAAAAATGCTAGACTCCATCAAAACAAAGAAATAAATAAACAAAAAAACCCACCTAAAATGCAAAGACTCAAGTAATTTAAACAGAAAGGTGTAAATTCAAACCCCAGTACTGCGAAATATAAAATAAAATGATTTCTATAATGTATTAGAGATAATCATGGTTATGGCTGGCATCACTGAAATTTCTTACTTAGTATCTCCCTCCTGTGTCTAATTTTTTAATCTTTTTTTGGATGTATTGGGGTTTGAACTCAGGGCACTTTACCACTTGAGCCACTCTACCATAGCCCACCTGTAACTTTTTGGTGGGACTGGGATTTGAACTCAAGGTTTCATGCCTGCTAGGCAGGTGCTCTACCACTTGAGCCACTCTCCAGGCCCCATGTCTAACTTTTCAAATCTTAACTTTCATTGAGGAATCTCTTGCTACTATCGTTAGAAATTTTATAATCATTTTGTGAGGCCAAGGAATAGTTTTGATTCTGTATTAAAACTGGATCAAAATAGTTTTGCTCCAGATGAAATGAGAAAAATGCCACTTTTCTAGGTCAAAAGAAAGTTTAGATTAATGGTAATTTGAGGTTCTGGAAAGGAAATGCCTTAATTGAGAAGAGCCTTTATGAACTCCTCCATATTGGCATGTGAATCTTAAACAGATATTAAGTAAAATAAGTGTTAGGGCAGCATATTAAACTTTAAAATGGTGAAGTCTAGTATAAAGATTAATCTACATTGTTTGAGTTTTGGTTGTTATTTGATTGCTCTTGTTTTGAAACATACTGTGTTCCTCTAATGAAATCCAAAAATTGATGTTAATTAGATATACGGTTAGAGTTGAAACTATGATTTATATCCTCTAATGTCTACTTTTTTCTACCCTTTTGCCCTTTCTCTATTTGTTGATGTCATCCCTTGAGAGTAGGCACAAGGGAAGAAACCAAATTTGATTCATACTGCTATTCCATTATATGAGAGAGAAAAATTGGTGGAAGGACTATTTTGTGTTGTAAGAAAATAGTGCAGTGTTAAACTACAAAATATTCTTTATGTACCTCTGTGATTTGTTTAGCTGCCAGACTGACTTACATGTATATTAGGATTATTCACATGGATTGCTTCAAATTACCAATAAAATTACCCAAAACAAAATTAATTACACATTACATTGTGTGCATGTCATTCCCTTTAAATTGTTCAATAGTATCTAATTACAGCCATCCCTTGGTGTCCATGGGGAATTTGCTCCACAAACCCCCATGGACACCAAAATTTGTAGATGTACAAGTTCCTTGTATAAGATAGTTGTAGTGTTTGGATCTAACCTACACATATCCTCCAGGACAGTTTAAATGGCCTCTGCATTACTTATAACACTTTATGCAATATAATGCTCTTGCTTTTGTTAACCTGTATTGTTTAGGGAATAATGATAAACAGAAAATGTCTGCACATGTTCAATACCTACACACTCTTTTTCCTAAGTATTTAAAAAACTTGGTTCGTTGAATCTATAGCTGTGGAACCTGCAGATATAAAGAGCCTCCTATATATTAATATTAATGCTATTTTAATGAAGGAAAGAATTATTTAATAAAGAGACCCAATTTAATATTTATTATTTATAATGAAAATATGACAGGAACTTTGGAAGCTTCAGAAGGACCTCAAGTGTTTTAATAAGAATCATAATCACTCTTAAATATTAGCTTTACTATAGAGTATGGGCAATAGCTTTTTCAAAAAATGTTTCTATTTGCTCTGCTGTGAGAGCTAAAATTTCTCTTGCAAGAGAATGTGGGAGGATCTATAGTGTAGTGTTAATTAGTAAATAGGGATTACTGGAATTAGAGCATGAGGTTCATTTATACATTTATCATATAGGGAAAATGTATCTACTGATAGTCTTTCCCCAACTTGTCTTAATTTCTTTTTATTTCAATGGCCTTTCAAATTATATTTTGAAATCCTCTGAAAAGATGTTGTGTATTTTGCTGTTCCTCCAGCATTTGAAATGCCAAGGGAAAATGAGGGCAGGCAGGAAGCCATAGTGGTTGAGCAGTTAAATATTATTAAAGGAGAAGTTCTGGAGATCACTAAAAGTCATGTTGCCAGTGCTTATTGGAAACACTGATTGCTAAAAACACACTGAAAGTTTATTTTTACCAGGGCTGTTTTAGGCTAGCTAACCTAGAACTCTATATAAACATGGCAATTATAACAGTTACATATTGTGTATTTTCCTAAGCTACTGTTTCCAGAACACTTTCCCTTACAGATGGAAACAAAATAAATCAGTCTCCTTCGTTTATTAAGCTTATATTTTAATGAATTGGTAGATGATAAACAATCAAATGAAACATAATATCAGGTAGTAGTATGAAGTAGGGGGGAAATGACCCAAATGATATGAAAAATTGAATTATTTGGATTTTTGGTGCATTCCAGCCAAAGAGAACAGTGTAATGGTAAGTACAGGTTTGTTCAGGGAATAGCAATAGGGTCAGTCTGTGAGTAATTCCTATATCAAAGATGGAAATGTTAAGAAATGAAGTAGTAAGGAGTCAGATGTTTTCTGAATTTAGATACGAAGACATTAAAAGTTCAGAAGGGTGGTGATTTTATTTATCTTTTAATGGGTAATATGGGTGTCATGTTGCAAATAAATATACTTTAAATCACTCAAGAAGAGAATTCAATTCTGATGACATTGCTGTAGTTCAGGTAAGAGATAGTGGTCATGTGGACTAGAGTGACAGAAGTAGTAAGAAATGTTTTTGAAAGCAGAGATGGCAGTTCTTACTGCTGAGTTAGGTAGGAGATTTTAAAAGAGAAGTCAAAAATAATTCTCAGATTTTTGAACTGAGCAAATTGGTTAAATAGTGGTATTACTTACTGAGATGGGGAACAACTATTATTAAGAGAGTAGTAGTTTCTGTGGAATAGAGGTAGAATTAAGTCTTTCATTTTTGGTATATTAAGCTTGAGATACTGGGTTTTCATCTGCAGAGTTGTTAAATTGGCAGGGCAAATTTATAGCTGGAGATAAAATTTTAGAATTCAGCAGTGTATAGTAATATTCAGTGCTGTGGGATCAGCTTTCTTCTGGGAATTCTATAATGATAGAGCAATGTTGTGAGTACTGAGCTCCACAGGCTTCAAAACTTGTCAGGCCCCGAAGAGGAGAATTCTGTAGAGAAAGTAAGACAAGAAAGATAGTAGAAATAATAAAATCACCATTCTCAATATTCAGAATATGAAGAAATTAAAACCTAGAATACTTTGTGTGACTCTGTGCTCATAAATTTGAAGAATCTGTAGGAAAATATATGACCCAAAGTGATTCAGAAAGATACAGAAAACCCAAATCTATAGAAAACCCAAATCTACTGATAACCATGTATGACATAAAAAATATTGTCAAGACTAAATCTGGGCAAGGGTCAGATGATTGTACCAGTGAATTCATTTAAGACTTCAAGAAACAGGTAATTGCTCTATAATTTAATTGAGACCATAGAGCAAGATGAAAAGTATCTCTCTGTTTAAAAATCACTATAAAAATGATTCAAAGTAAAGAGAAACCTTATAAACCGATATAAAAATTAAAGTTAAATATTGATGTAAAATCACAAATAAAAATCATCATGGTGTACAGGCCAAAAAAATGAGGAATTAAAGTAAGGTTAGAAGTGCAAAGATGATTAGTGTTTGAAAATTATTTAAAATTAAATACTACTTTGAAAGTTCAAATGAGAAAAAATATGAATATGTTGAAAGATACTAAAAGGGAATTTTATGTGTCAACATCTATTCCTGCTATAACCTTCTATTTGTAAGTGACAAATCCAGGAGGTAGGAAATTAGTAAGGGTATAGTTGAACTGAATGACACCATCAATCAACTGTATCTAATTGACATTTATAGAATATTTCTTCCAATAATAGCAGAATACACATTTTTCTTAAACTCATACAGAACATTGACCAAGACAGATCATGTTCTAAACAATAAAATACCCTTTACAAATTTTAAAGAAATAGAAATTATAATAAATTTTTTCTTAGAACATATGGAATTAAACCAGAAATTGATACAGATAGTTAGAAAATACCTACATATTTGGAGATTAAATAACGTATTTCAAGAAAAAAATGAGTTAAGAAAATTTCTTAAGTTAATTTAAAATAGTTTTGTTTTGGCTTAAATGAAAATGCTAGTCATTAAAAATGTGTGGAATGCAGTAAAGCATTGTTTTGAAGGAAATTTGTAGCATTAATAGCTTATGTTAGAAGAGAAGCCAAATTCAATAATCTAAGCTTCCACCTTAGGTAACTACAAAAAGAAAAACAAATTAAATCCAATGTAAAGAAAAGAAAAGACATAATAAAAATTAGAGCAGAATCAATGAAAATGAAAATTAAAAATTAACATTGAAAATCAACAAAATCAAAAGCTGATTCTTAGAAAATATCAATAAAATTATTAATTTTTCAGCCAGTTAACCAAGGGAAAAGGGATAAGACACAAATTGCTCATACTAATGTCCTAAATGAAAGATGATTACTACTGATTTCATCTATGGTTG